ATTTTCAAAATATTTGTTCAAGTTCTGATGTGAAAAAAACTAATATTTTTTTATCAAAATATGATTAATCTTTTTTTTTTATAAGTGGAATGGATTGTCTGAGATTAAATTTTGGATCTAATATCATCAGAATTAAAATAACGCTCCTTATCAAAACTAAACACATTTCCTGTTTAATCAAAACAGGAAAAAAATTAATGATCAAATTTAAAAATTTTATAATGATTAAAACAAAAATAAAACCAAAATTGAATGATAAAATTTGTAATTTCTACATTTATGAACCACGGACACGAGAAGCATGATCAATTATTTATACACAAAAAGGAGGGCTGTCTCTCTTCTCCTGCCCTATTTGTCACAAAACATGTTAATCATATAAACATTAATTAAAACTGATTAAAGGCTCTTCATGCATACAAATGCAGGCGAATGGTTTCTAAAGTATGAACTTTGGCCCACGCAAACCATACTTAAAATTAATTAATTAATTAATTTCTGATTTTGTCCTTTGATTTAGTGCAGTAATCATTTGAGAAAAAATAATGATGGGTTTTAAATATTGAAGCCACATTTATTGAAGTATGGTGAAGTAGTTGAGCCACAAAGGCTAACAGGGCTTTTGTTTTATATGTTTAATTTTGTCTCCTTCTCACCAACCTAGGAAAGTATTTGCTTTCACTACTCAACTTTTGTTTTAGTTTCAATTTAAAAATGGATAAAGTACACAAATGGTTTCTCGATTACATGTCGTTATTTTGTTGAGTCCTCTAACTATTAAGAGTTATAAAGTGGTCCCTCGACTATAAGCCATTGGTTCGTGGAGTTACTCGACTATTAAAAGTTATAAGATGATCGGTCGGCTATTCATATGTTCTAAATTCATCATTTTATGTTAAAATATTGATGGTCGTTTGAGTTGGATGTTAACCAATGTTGACTGAGATATTATAAAATTATATTTTAATGATATCTATTGACATGTCGTTACTTTTAAGCACTGATTCGATTATATGATATCTAAAGCACTGGCTCAACGTGATAATGTAAACGGGGACTCGGTCCACAAATACACCTCAAACGATTATGAGATCAAATTTTATCACATCTCAGTCAACAAGTTAATGTCTAGCTCAAAAGACTGTTAATTTTTTTAATGAAAAATAATGAGGTTGGAACATATAAATAATCGAGTGACCATTTTGTAACCTTTAATAGTTAGATGACTCAAAAAAGCAATGTCCTATAGTTAGTTGACTATTTTACAACTTTATCCTTTAAAAATTGATTCGTTGAACTATTAATAATAAGACGCTGTGACAGTTTGGTGTCAATGTGTGCAAATATAATATTTTAGTTTGCGTATTGATCTTATTACTAAAGTTAAAATGTTTCAATTTTAGATAGTGAACTTTAATTTACATACCCATTTAGTCATTATCTGTTAATTGTTGTCGTCGTCAATCAATCACAATCCATCTTTGATTATTATTCGCAAAAAGATCGATATAAAAGCGTTTGTATTTCACTTATCTCTCTTCTCCTTGGATTGATTTTGCATGAAACTCACTTAAAATTAAAGAAAAACAATCTAATAGTTCGACATTCTAATGCTCTAGTTTGAGGGTTTTTATTGATTTTGATGGATTTAAGGAGATTGTCTGAAAATTCAAATAGTGATAAACATTTATTTAAGAAGACCATTAACTTACATTGAAACTAGTCTTATCGGACGAGTGTCAAAAGATATTATGGTATTAAAATGATAAATCTTCATATTGATTTTTATTGATTTTAAATGGGTTCGTTGAAAATAAATTTGAGAAGAATAAAAAGGTGTGAAATGAAAACATTTTGATATTGATTTTGTTGCGAGTGATGACTAATGACAGGCGCAATTGATTGGACAACGGTGATTTTTGACTGATAATAACTAGATTGGTATGTAAAATAAAATTTTGTGACAAAATGAATATACAAAAGTTATGAAAAAAAAGAACATATCATCACATTATTAATGATTTAACAATCTAATACTTACATTGAATATTAAAATAAAATTTAATAATGAAATTAAAACAATTAAAAATTCAATGATAAAATTGATACAGAACATATAATACAATAACATTTGGTGTAGTTTATCCTATATACAATTTACTCCTTTCAAGATTCAATTCAAACTTCGTCGCTGACGTCAATGAGTTTGCCCTCCAACTTCATTAATGCAGAAATGAGCCCACACTGTTTACACATGAATAATTGCAGAAGAAAATGATGAAAGGTTGTGTTTGTACAAATACATGCAATAAAAACCCTTTCACTCTGTTTTCCTTAGACTGTGAAAGAGAGTGGCCTCCTTTGATATTTCGTTTAGATAAATGTTACAATACGAGACCAATTACCACATTTTCATAGATACCTTCAAATTTGTCCATAACATGTTTTCCATTATCAAACCCTTTTCTGTTTCATTGTTTCTATATCTAATTGATAAGATTTTTTGTTTAGTGGTCAGAAAAAATTAACCCCGTAATTTAATGACTAAAAAGTTAGTTTACTCAAAAAATTAAAGTTAAAAGTTAAAAAAAAAGTAGGGTCTTGAAGGTAAAAAACCAATCTTTCTCATGCTGTTATTACGGGGCCAGCCGGCAAATCAAAGATTTGAGTTGTGAGACAAATCTTATTGCCAAGCAAAGAGCTTTACAAAAGAAACCCATCTTCTTCAGCTTCCTCGTTCTTTTATTTCCTTCCACACTTTCCATTTTTTTAATTTCTTTTATTAGGCACGTGAGAGTTTAACTATAAAAAAAGAAAGTGTAATGCTGCATTTGTTTGCTTGGGTGGTCTAGTTGAAATGAGTGATTTTTATTTTCCCTCGGAAAATGAGGGAAAGTGTAAGAAACTGTTTACGAGGGAATTAGAATATGTGAAAGAATTGAAATCTGTCAGGAATTAGAATCCAATTTCATATTCTGTTTGATTGGCAGGAAATAGAATTGGAATCCAATTCCATACTTTGTCAGGAATTGAAATTTGACCATACTACCCTCATCAATCTTTTGGTAACTTATTCATATATTGAATAAAAATATTTTTTTATTATTTCGGATCGGGTCGGGTTTCTAATTCATATATTCGGGTCGGGTCAGGTAAAACTTTATTTTGATCGGGTCGGATTTTTAATTCATAAAAGTATGGAATTTGATTCTAATTTTATTTTCTGCCAATCAAATAGAATATGGAATTGAATTCCAATTCTTGACAGATTTTAATTCCTTCACAGATTCTAATTCACTCATAAATATTTCAGCGAACCAAATGTCACATAAGAAAAAAAAACCCACCAGAATTTGACTTCCACTTCCTTCTCTGTTTTTGTTGTACTTTTTCTGGAACCGTAACATTTCGGGCAGAGGAAACGAGGAAGCATGGGTGGCAGCTTCCTTATCATCCACTCCGTGTTTGTTATTTTGAGTCTTTGTTGTTTTAAATTCTGGGTAATTTTCAAAGATTTCATTTTTTTTTTGAACTTATATTTGTGAAAGCATTACTCATGCGACATAAGCTTAAGAAGCGGAAAATAGTTTATGAAATTCATTATTCTTAGCAGGTTTTCAAATATAGCAAGCATTGCAGAGTCTGCGACGAATGTGTTGACCGTTTCGATCATCATTGCCGGGTACTGATGGATCTTCATTTGTTGGATACTTTTTTCCACTTCGTCAATGATTCTTCTAATGCTTCTTTTGTTCGCCTGTATTTTTAGTGGCTCAACAATTGCATTGGCCAGAGGAACTACCGGCAAATTTTCAGTCTCATGGTTTCTGCTCTTCAACTGGTAAGTTCATTATTCCTCTTCACTGTTTGTATCAGATTAGAATCATCATATTACATGATTTGTCCACCTTGGACTTGACGTTGCAGCTTATTCTACACTGGTCGACTGGAATCCTTGTACTTTTATGCTGTTTAATCGATCGGAAGCAGTTTTCTGCAGACATTTCAACAAAGTTAGGAAGCAGTTTCTCTTCGGCTGCATTTGTTATTGGGGTTGTAAGTGTTGTGCCAATATTTATTTTAATCTTTATTTCCCGGTTCTGTTAAACGCTATACATTACAAACTCTGAATTCTTATTATCTTTAGTATTTACCAGATCATCAAACAACATTAAGCTAAGCAGTGTAATTTCTTACATTTACAGGCATTGTGCACCATTTTGGCTATGGTTTCTACGTTTCCTATTGCACAGCTTTTCTTCTTTCACGTTCTACTCATGAAAAAGGTAAGCCTTTCAACTTCTTTTTTCCATAACATGTGAAGGATGTTATTGTTTTAATACTCTGTTTTCTTCTTAAAGTCGAATCCTAATGAGGATAAAGCTAATTAGCTAATTAGGTGATTCCTGAACATGTTTCAGGGAATCAGCGCATATGACTATATAGTAGCTTTACGAGAGCAGGAGCAAGAGCAACAAGATATTGCCGGTCACCAGAGTCCGCTCGTAGGGGTGCCTGGTGTACACCTCCCCAGCTTTTCCTTGAAGATCAGGTGATTTTAACAAACCATTCCTTGTCAAGAATTAATACAGATATCAAATTTTATATTTTATAAAATAGTATACTTTTAAGCTGAAACACTGAAGCCTCAGCTGTTTGTATTGTATGTTTGGTGCTATTTTGACGTTGTTCCTCCCGATACTGCATCTGTGAGTTCATATGGAAAACGAATGGTAGGGGAGGAACCTATTAAGAAGAAAAATCCGGCAGAAGTTAAGATTAGTACATGGACAATGGCACGGTTAAATGCTGAAGTTGTTCCAAAAGCCGCCGCTGAAGCACGGAAAAAATCCAAAATCCTGCGGCCTGTAGTGAGACGTGAAGCCCCATCAGGGCTAGAAGCAGGAAGTAGCTTTGGAAGCAGTGGCTGACAAGTGTTCTCAAGAGCTGATAGCAGAAGACGAGCATCTAAGTGTGTGCGCCACCCTGTTGACCTACCCATGGAGTCCTTAACGAACATTTCCTTTAAAGCTACTGACAAAGGTTTAAATGAAACATTGAGCAGTTTGGCACCTCTGCAATTGGAAGCACGAAGCGCTTTCCAAACCAACTCAGCAACGTCAAGCTATCGTGGGATCGTTGCCTCTTCTCCTGAGAGCAGTTTAGACTCGCAGGATATTCATCCATTTCGATCGGGAGCTGAAGAATCAAGACAGGTAACAGGTTTACCTTCTGTCAATATAGCTGCTCCCCAGGGATTTCCTTTCTCGAGGTCTACCAGTGACGGGTATGAAGCATCAGGTGGGGAAGATAGTGATCGAGTTTCTTCGAGAATTATCCAGACATCAACAAATTGGAGCAATATTCTTTTCGATCCTGGGCAGGATGAGAGTGTCGTTAAACTAAAAGCATCATCATCATCCAGCCAGGCTAATATGAGAATTCTGTGACCTCTTGTGATCAATGAAGTCGGTTGATTTCGGATAAAAAAGTTCATTCTTTAATTTATGGGCCATGAATATGAGAACAGATGACAAGGGCTGTAAAGGGCAACACTGGTTTCCGTCGTTGCAAGACTAGCAACTAGTGTATCCTCGAAGACTTGGTCGTTTGCTTGCATTCGGGATGACAAGAAGGATGTAAAAAGGGTTTTCGATATGTTCTTGCTATAATACTACTACAAGAAATTTTGATTGTTCTAACAAAATTATTTATCACTAAAAGTATTAAATTTGTCATGATAAATTTATTTCGACTAATTTTATTTGTTACCACGTTTATTATAACAACCTTTTCATGTAAAGTATATTGTGACAAAATTATGTTTGTTTCCATTTTATAGTATTTATTGTAACAATGAAATTGTGTTACTATAATTAACTTATCGTAATAAAATATTTGTCACAATAATTAACCATTTCGTCACGATAACTAAATTTTGTTATAACTAACTTATATTTTAACATCAAATATAAAAAGTTTTTATGCCGAAAATAAATAAGATAACAAAAATTATTTGTCACAGTTTCTATTTCGCCACTAAATGTAAAATATAGAGACAAAATATTTATTTATCACAAAAAATAAAATTTGTCATAATTAATTTAAATTATGACATTAAATAAAAAAGGTTTTCGTGACAAAAAGACATGTTAGAACAAAATTTAATTTCTCACTACTTTTATTTCGTCATTAAATATTTTCTATAATTTTTTTCTATAACTAAATAATTTTATTGCAATTTGTTATTGTGAAAGAATATTACTTTGTCACAATTTTTTATATTGAGAAATTAATATTTTTTTATAAATTAATATTTTGATTAAATAAATTTGTCACAAATTTTATTTTAATAAAATTTTGTAACAAAATAAATTTGACATAATTTTTTATTTTGACTAAATTTACTGTGTTATTGTAACTAAATAAATGTGTTACAATTTATTATAGTAATAGTGAAATAATGTTATTTGTCCTAATTTTTTATATTGAGAAATTAATATTTGATGTAAATTGTTATTATGACTAAACAAATTTTTTTAAAAAATAACATAATTGTTATTTTGAGAAAATATTATAACGAAATAAATCTAACATAACTTTTTATTTTGATTAAATTTAATATATTTTGATTAAATTTTTAATATATTATTGTGACTAAAATCATTATTTTTTATCCGTATATACATTAAAAAAAGAGAAAATAACCTCAGTGACAAAAAATCTCAGATAATATACGATTTTGATCAACTTTTTTTGGATTTGCGAAAATGACCAACAAAATCGCAATACGATCTCCACTATCGCAAATTCGCGTTGCGATAGTTGAAAATCGCAACACAATTTTCCATTTCGCGTTGCGATAGTCTACAGTTGTCATTGCGATTTTTCAAATTCGTTGCGATTTTCTAAATTCGTTGCGATAGTCTACAGTTGTTGTTGCGATAGTCTACAGTTGTCGTTGCGATTTTCCAAATTCGTTGTGATAGTTAAAAAAAAGATTTTGTTTCTTAAGAATTTTCTCTAAAAAGATAGTATCCGCGCGGACGTGTTGAAGACACGTATTACCACGACCACGACCACGACCACGATCACGACCCGACCCGAGAAGAGACGAGACGAGACGGACGGCAGCGGCGGCGGCGCGCGAGAGTCCCCCTTGTTCTCTATCACTCAACAAGGAAGTGGGAAAGCCAAGCCTTAAATACCATTCCCAATAGTGTTTCCAATACTATGTGGGATTTGAGCATTACCAACACTTGTTCCCAATACTATGTGGGATTGAGCCTTAAATAGTGATATTATTTTTAAATGTTTTGTTTAAAATTGCAATAATCGCGATTGATTGTAGATTGACTTTTAATTATGACATATTTAATCGTATAATACTAATGCAATTGGTTGCTGATTCAGTTGTTTTAAGATGCATAATTGTTTCCTGAATAATCACATTGTATTGAAAACAAGTGTTGGTAATGCTCAATCCCACATAGTATTGGAAACACTATTGGGAATGGTATTTAAGGCTTGGCTTTCCCACTTCCTTGTTGAGTGATAGAGAACAAGGGGGACTCTCACGCGCCGCCGCCGCTGTCCGTCTCGTCTCGTGGTCGTGGTCGTGGTAATACGTGTCTTCGACACGTCCGCGCGGATACTATCTTTTTAGAGAAAATTCTTAAGAAACAAAATCTTTTTTTTAACTATCACAACGAATTTTCGCAACGAATTTGGAAAATCGCAACGACAACTGTAGAATATCGCAACGAATTTGTAAACTATCGCAACAACAACTGTCCACTATCGCAACGAATTTGGAAAATCGCAACGACAACTGTAGACTATCGCAACGCGATTTTCAACTATCGCAACGCGAAATGCAACGCGAATTTGCGATAGTGGAGATCGCAATGCGAATTAGAGATCGCATTACGATTTTGTTGGTCATTTTCACAAATCCAAAAAAAGTTGGTCAAAATCGTATATTATCTGGGATTTTTGATCACTTAGGTTATTTTCTCTTAAAAAAAAGAAAAAAATCTAATACAAATTTGGGGCATTTAATACCCTAATAGTCCCCACAATGACTTACGAGCAACCAAAAGTCCAAATCCCACAAATAAGACTCAAATAGTAACCAAAATGAAACCCTAATGTACCGTTTGGTTGGCATGAATCCCTTGGAATTGGTGGGAATTGAAATCCAATTCCACTACTTTCCCATGTTTGGTTCAAGTTTTCCAAGAGAATTGAAATCCCTCATGGCTTCAACTTTCCATCAAATGAGGAAAAGTGAATTCCATCCAAGAATGGATGGAATTCAATTCCTTTGTTGGAGGGAATTGAAATTTGACCATACTACCTTAATCAATCTTTTAGTAATTTATTCATATATTGAATAAAAATATTTTTTTATTATTTCGGGTTGGGTCGGGTTTCTAATTCATAAATTCAGGTCGGATCGGGTGAAACATTATTTTGGTCGGGTCGGGTCGATTTTTTAAGTGTGATATTCGGGTCGGGTCGAGTTTGGGTTTAGGGTGAAAAATACCCGACCCGAAAATATATATAATTTTACCTTATATATTTAGAAATAATTACAATAATACCCCTCTATATATAATTTTTTTTTCAATTAAGTCACTGTTTTTATGGAATAAAAATATTTTTTTATTATTTCGGGTCGGATCGGATTTCTAATTCATATATTCGGGTCGGGTCGGGTGAAACTTTATTTTGTTCGGGTCAGATTTTTTTAAGTGTGATATTTGGGTCGGGTTTTTTAAGTGTGATATTTGGGTCGGGTCGGGTCCGGATTTAGGGTGAAAAAATTGGACCCGACCCGAAAAAAATATATAATTTTACCTTATATATTTAGGAATAATTACAATAATACCTCTCTATATATAATTTTTTTCAATTAAGTCATGTTTTTATTGAATAAAAATAATTTTTTTATTATTTCGTGTCGTGTCAGGTTTCTAATTCATATATTGAATAAAAATAGTATTTGGTATAATTTTTGGTAACTAATTAACATACTCCGATTGGAATATATCGAAATATTGCTATATCTTTTAATAACTTATTAACATATTTTGATTGCGATGATTTTATTATGATGTTTATTAACATGATTTTTATAATTTATTGAAATGAATAATTAATCAATAAAATGAAAATTTAATTTTTTTATAGTATAATACTAAATGTAAGTTGTAAAACAAACTAAAATAAAGTAAAAAAACAAGAACAATTCTGTCATTTTACATTATTGAAATCAAATTCATCTGGTATGTCTGCGAACCAAACAGAATATGAAATTACATTCTAATTCCATTTCCTGCCAACCAAATAAAATATTGAATTGGATTTCAAGATTTCAATTCTCTGAAGAAAAAAAAAATTCCAACGAACCAAAAGTCACCTAAGGTTTCTATGACTCTGCCGTCGCTATCCCAAACCTCCATGCCAGCACTACCAGCAACCTCAGAAAGATCATCCACGTCCTATCACACATGCACACGAAAACAGAAAAAAAAAAAAAGAAATGAGAGAGGCATTTTTTTGGACGAATGAATCCTTGTAAACGGATTTTTATGAAAACCCCAAATCAAAATTTATCTTTTTTTCTTTTCTTTCACATAGAGAAAACATTGCAATCTTTTTCCAATTCGAAGGAAATTTTGTAAGGGAAATCTTTACCATTTTTCAGATGTAATAAACAGAAATAAGCTTCCCCCTATTTCATTTCTTTATTGCAACGCGAAATCAATCGAAACATTTTAGGTATTCTCCATCTCTTTTCCATTTTCCGTATGCTATGTGGACATGTTTGTTTCGAACCAAAAAAATAACAATAAAATGAAAAATAAAGAGAAGGGTTTCGTGAGTTTACTTGAGTTCATAGGAGTTCTTCATCGGGGTCGTCGTCGGAGTAAAGGAAGAAGCCTGAGCCTTTAGGGGTCTTTCCATCGGAGATCGTCGCCAGAGTTGAATGTCGGGGTTTGGGAGTTGAACCGTTGATTCATTTAGGAGATAGGGGGCTTGCATGTTAATCTTAGGTTCGATTAAGAGTTAGAGGAGAGAAAGTGGTGGTTTCGGGTTCATTGTATAGGTCTAGGCTTCCCCGACCACCGTTGGTGGTGGTGAGGGATGCGTCGATTGCCCGCGGTGTTGAACCGTGCAGGTCCTGTCGAAGGAGAAAAGCTGGGTTAGAAGGCAAGGATAAGGGTTCTGGTGTTTTTGGTTTTCCCTTGGTTGTGGTCGGCAGTGAGTCTGGAAGTGAGAATTGCGCTGCATGGTGGCCATCAATGGATATGGTTCATTTGAATTCTGCCTGTGAGGTGAAGTAAAGATTTGGGAGAAGGTTGAAACAATTTGAGGCGACGGATTTAGGTTTAAAATTAGGGTTAAGATAATCTATAGTTAGGTGTGTATATATATATATATA